TGGCTGACGGCCAAAGAGATGGATGACAGGTTTGGAGTTGAACTTGCAACTCAAATTCGAAATCGCAAATTGTTAGACCCAGAATTGAAGGAGCGGGAGGTACGACCTCATCCAGAGCTTCCAGACTCGGAGGCAAGAACATGTGACCTGTTAATGTTAAAACCAAAAATCAGTAGAGGTTCCTTGGACATGTTCTAGAGGCCTGTCAATTGATTGTTGGTCATGAATGTCATGTCTATCATCGCGTGTGCAGGCGATGGTTCAATACTTGACGCTGATTGAAGAGGAGGCGGAGACTGAGGTGCAGGAAGAATTGGACCGATTGTACTCATGTTTGGATGTGGATAGCTCGTCTAGCTCCAGCTCAGCCTCGTCAAAGTCCAAGTCAAAGAAGAAGAAGGATAAGAAATCCAAGTCGAAGAAAACCAAGGTGGGGACAGTGGGGCTGGAATTTGAAGTGGGATCATTTTGTTTGGTTCATGTGTTTTGATTGATTCCCATTGATGTAGTATGTCGCAGAGTCAGAAACCACAGAACAATGTTAATTACAAATGTTAAGTTGAGAGCGTGCAAGGGCGGGAAGAACCCAAAGGGGAAGAACAAAAGCAAGAAGGATAAGAAGAATAAGAAGGACAAGAAGGAAGTGAAAGAAGAAAAGGATACAGAGGAGTTGGAAAAGGAGAAAGCCAAAGACTTGCTGAAACGAAGTAAGAAGGCCTGTTCTTGACTCTAGACTCTAGACCACCAGAACTTGATTTGATAGAAGTTAGAAGTCTAGAATTGTTATTGTGACAACTACAGGCGATCAATGATGCAAGCGGAAAGATCAAGTGGGCAATGGATTTGAAGCCGAACATGGCCAAATTGTCAGCCGCTAAGATATTTTTGGTGATGCATGCAGGTGCATACATGTTTGTTATCAGGAGTGAGAACTATGCTGCCTCAGTATCCACTGACGTAGAGACCAAGCTCACTGCAATTGAGGACACTGACCCCATTGCAATGGCCAGTCGATTTAGGTTTTACTTTGTGCCAGGATGCCAGATCCTTGCTTCAAACAGCTGTGGACAAGTCGCAGGCACAGTGTGGTTGACTGTTCCGGTGAATACACTAGAATCATGATCATTTGGCGCCAGGTGACAGAAGCGTTGGTGAAATCGTGCGATGATGCCCGGGTAGCGTTGGAAACCGCGTGCGAACCTCTCAAGGCTGCTAAGAAGTCCAAGAAACAAAAGACAGACTGATTGTACATGGTTTCACGCGTGTATGTTCTTGATGTTATTGTACAACTGGAAACGCATTTGGACAACTATTGTACAACTGTTGATCCAGTATTTGGACGGACTTCCCTTTTGGCAATAGGCCTTTCTTAGGTGACTAGTGCTCAGATCCCTGCAGAGGGTGTTCAGCCAATATGGCTGAAGGGTGGCAGGGTGATGCATCAGTCCCAGATTTGGCAAATGCCACAGTAAGCTAAGCTGCCATCCATCAGTTCTTTGCTAGAATTCACCAGACCATTTTGATATAACATACGATGGACACAATTAGATCTCAAATCGCTAAGTGCAGCACAGCACAGCACCAGTGGCAGAGTTATGTTTCAAAGGACAAATCTTACGCCATCATACGACAAAGAAAGGGAAAACACTGTTTCTCAAACTTCTGCTTGATCAGCACAACATTTAATATCGAACCGTGTTGCTGCCCACCCAACGCAGGAGATCGCCCGGAGGTGGACGGTGAGCACGAGATCATTGGCCCAGTTCAGCGGAATGTAGTTGAACAAATTGCATCAAGTGTTCCTTGTATGCAGAAAGGGGACCCTTCAGTCTGTCATCAACCTTCCAAGTGTGGGTGTGTTTATGTGATTTGAGGCAGCTTCAGCACAGAGTGCGATGACATCAATCCGAGCAGCTTACAAGGACACATTGGTGGATAGGTTCTTGCCCTGCCAGATCAATCATCGGGCCACGCCTTGGATTTTCTCATGTTATTGAGTACGAGTCATTGTTTTACTATTTTTTCTGGTGTCCTCTTTTCTCCAGGAGGCCCATGGCCACACAACAGCGTGGACAAGGAAGGTGGCAGAGTACGCGCCCGGAAAGAATAGCGCCAGAGACCTCTTTGCACGGATGCCCCTCCCTCTGGACCTTATGTTTCAATCCTAGCAGGATGTTATACTGAAATTGTTATGGGATGGTTATTTTGTTTCTGGTGCGTTTAGATGTCATCATCCTCCGTACTATGAGGAACCATGCATGGTGGACGTTGAGTTGAAGTCAGCAGGAGACCAAATTTATATGGCTGCTGTTCCATTGTTACTACCAGAGCAGATTTTGGAATTTCTCATGAGCAAATGTGACTTGCAAATTGACGAGCAACTGTGTCAAAGATATTGGCGCCGTCTAGAGCTTCACAATGACGAGGTTGCTGTTGAGTCCAGTCAATTCCGAAGGCTGCAGGACAAAGAGGTGTGGCCTCTGGGAATTCACGGCGACGAAGCAAACATTGGGATCATCAGCCAGCCGACCAGTAAGATTATTGGCATGACACTAAACATTCCATTGTATCGTCCCAAGTCGACCCGATTGAGCAGGTTTTTGATGTTTGCTTTGGAAAGCGCTACACTCGTTGACGCGGTCCGCACAGTGTGGCCATTGTTGACAATGATCGTTGCATCATTGAACCGCTGCACGGAGCAGGGCATATTAGGCAGAAAGTTTATTCTCACGGAAATGAGAGGGGACCAAGCGTGGTTCTATTTTCTACTTCAGCACAAAGCGCGTTGGACATCTGTCAATATTTGCTTCAGGTGTGGAGCCCATACGAGAGCTGACCAGGATTGTTACGCTATATATGATGCAGGGTCAACCAATCGCAAATCCACCCAAGACTTCATCATCGACGAATTGTCAAACGATCTGTGTTGCTTAGCTAAATGCCTCACTGGCCTAGACTGTTGGTGCATCTTTTGGCCTAAATTACATACATTGGATGAAAACCCACGTTAATGTCTAGTCTGCCAAGTGGTGACTGTTTTGGATTGGTGGTTGGGTTGGGTTCGAGGCTTGCTTTCGGTTGGATCACAAGTCCGGAATTCAGGTCCACTTGTTGACACCCACTTCTTCTCGATCGACACAATAAAGCATTGTTCTCTGCATATATTGAATCTGGGACTCGTACATGTCTCAAATGGGTCAGCTTTGTGCCTTGTTTGCTATCAGAAACGTGTTTGGCAACTTGACTCCATCCAAAAGTAGTTTTGGGGGAGGTGTCTACACGATAGTTGGTGTTCTTTTTGATAATGGGAGGACAATGTTACTCCACATGAACTACTTCGGCCCTGTACACAGACGCGGTGATCCAGCGGCGTACAAAGTTCCATGCGAGCACGCTTTCGAGAGCTTCCAGACATGGAGGGCTACAAATCGAATCCCTTCGAGTCAACGCAGGTTCAACTATTGGAACCTCTTCAGAGAAGAGTTTGGGGCATATCTGAATAGTAAGGGGTACAATTCCAGAATTTTGTCTTCATGGCTGGAGCATGAGCTCGAAGCTGCGCTTGCCAATCCTCCACCGAACATTGTACCCGACGAGCGGCTTTATCTTTCCTTGGTGGCGCTGAAACCCAGATCTGATGTAGTTCAGATTTTGTTGTTTCCCGAATGAGTTGTTTTTTGCTTTGGGTTGCCTGGTGATCAAAACTGTTGATATATGTTTCAGCGCTGCCAAGGAAAGCCGTGAACCGGTACTTTGCCCTGACAGAGCGCGCCTGCCGAGCATTGATGCCCAGCTTGAAGATGGTCATGTAGGGCTCGACGAATGGCCATCGGCTTTGTGGGACAGGCGGTCTATGTAGAATGGGGGCTGACATGCTCCATAACACGTACTAGTTACTGTATAACATAGTCACCTCAAAATTATCAGGGGTATATCACCACAATCCAAGAGAGTCCAACCACACCATCCATGTCCCATCCAAGGACTCGGATGGAGGCAGAGCAAATTGAAGCAGCAGGGAAAACATACCTCCAGGCCTATCAGAAACTAACTGCCAAGTCTATGAGGAGAAATGATCAAGATCTTAGCTGGACGATGATTCCCAAATGGCATGTGACTTGTCGTTGATTAACCTTTGTCTTTTCAAACTGGGGGTGGTTCTACCATCAGTACTGCCGGGTTTCAGGCATTCGCGGAGCTCTTGCAGACTGTGGTACGCGTCAGGCGTTTCCTGGTAGCAATCCCTGGTGACAATCCTTGTGTTTCTTCGAATTCTGGATTGACCTATAATTTAGACTTTGGACCCGAGGTCAAAACCCAAGGTTCCAACACACATTCTGCGACGAAGACTTCATGGGAGTTCTCAAAGGCCTATTCCCTAGATTTTTGCAAGTGTGTGCAGGGGCTGGTTGTGTAATATAAATGACCAACTCTGGTTGAGGCTGGGCCAGAAAGTCTGAAAGCAAAGGGAAATTGAACGACCGCGGAGGAAAGCTGTGGAGTGTTCTTAGGCTTGCTCGGCTGAGATACTTGTCACTGTCGTGGCGCATCCGCGAAGCGGCGAGCCAACAGAAGCGTCAGTGAAGAAAAGAAACTTTGGGATCCTGTGTGGGGTGCTGCATGTTCATATATGTTCATGTTTTCCTGACATGTGGTATCATGTGGTTAAACTTAGTCGATCCTAAATGATCAAGTTAAACTTCGACATTGAGCAATGATCAAGTTTTTTTGGCGTCGTTTGAAGGTAGGGGTCTATATAACTATTACATCTATTACTATATATAATATACTTCCTTCAATCTTGAAGGTTTGGAAGTGGATTCCATGGAATGACTAGAAGTCGCACATCGTCGGGGATGGGGTGCGGTGGGGTTGGTCTGGCTACACGGAGGTCTGGCGTTTCACTCCACCGCAGCACCCAATACTGAACACCATCAAACCTTTGGCCAAAGTGCACTCAACACTGACCTTTCGCCCCCGGCTCTGTTTAGCCAAGCATCTTGTGAGAAGGCTGGCTTGCAGTTCCTTCAAGTGTTCTTGCTCACAAACCATCAGCAGTGCCTCGAGCGAATGTCCCACCCAACTGCCTGACCGTTCCTGACCGCTTTTGTAGTGGATACCCGCACTCCCAAGCTGAAGTCCTTAGAAATTTCCCAGTGGATATCTTAGAAGTGAATCCCTTGAATGCACTTCAAAATGTCCAGATTTGGAGAACCAAGTCAAACCTCCAAAAGATAGGTCATAGGTCCGTCCCAGTCCCACTTTCAACGAGTTGCACTCAGACCAGGTGAACTCCCGCTCTGCGCGCTGCCTGCGCTGCTCGGCGTGGCATCCAGAAGTCTTAAGGCTTCGGGCCAAGCGCCGGCCTCGAGTCAATTGAGATTGAAGCATGAGAAGTCCGCCTGGCACCAAAGCTTTCAGCCAGGTCCCCTGAGGCTGAAAGATGTACAAGATCGATGCTTATTGCTGATGCTCATTCATTCCGAATACTCCTCCATAATCCCGTGTCCGATCTTGGACGAATTTGCCCCGTGTCCGGTCCAGGAGTGAGCGAACAGGTAATTAATTACTTGCCATGCAGAAGAATGCAATTGGCAATGCAATCTTGCCAGCCCTGGTCCCTGGTACACCTTTACCCACTTTTCTAATCTGAAGAGACGGCTCTAGATGACTCCAGATGACTCTACATCGAAAGCAGATCCCAAACATGCGGTTCCTTCCGCATGCCCCACTTTCTACAACACATGTCCTGAAACACCCCTCAAACTGCTTGACAGTTTGGCTGAGTATGCCTTGCAAGTCTCACACCCTACTTAGGTGGTCGCAAACAAACATACAAGGCCCCGACCATTACAACAGCCCGTTGGAATCTACTGATATCATCCAATACCCATGTCTGTTCTGTTTGCGCAGGCGACTGGCCTGGCATCATCCTCATCTTAGAAAGTACCAACTTTGGACCCCAACGATCGTGTATGAAGACAGCCCAAGCGTCTTGACAACAAGCCACCACTGCCAAGTCCATGGCATCTGCCTTAACCCAGTTCGCTAAACAGTGGACCGAGCGACGAATTGCTCGGTCCAGCTTCACGAACATCTGTATAACAAGGTTGGAAGATGTTGGAAGACCAAAACCAGGGCATAGTAAAGAACCCAACTGTTGGGCAGACTCCGATGCAAATCACTATCAGTGGGAGCAGAAGGCAGGAGTACTGAGGAGTACTTATGTGGGGAAGGTCAGAGATCTTTGGCCAAAAGCACTAGCAGCAGCTGTGGGGGCCAACACCCGGTCGCTTTTTCTGCGCAGTCACTGAACTCAGGGCACCCTCGCGTTGAAATCAGCATCATGGCGGGACTGACCACATCAAAAGGATGCTCAGTCCGGTAGACTGTCCTCTAAATGGATCCATCTTAGATCCAATCCACATGCTCAAACTTAGAACTCCGAGATGCTAATGAAAAAACAAACAGCTGTATATATATATATATATACATACGTCAATGATCGACAAACATTATATCATTATATATAATATAATTCCATGATCTTCCATGCTTGGTACCTTCGAAATTGCACCCCAGCTCCCACATCTCACGTCTCACAGCACATGTTTGTGCTTCTCCGGACGCACCAGCAGTGCAGGAGGCCACTTGTCCACCAGCTCAGCGGCCGCGCGGCGGTGCGGCAGCTGCAGCAGCTCCACGCGTGTCTCGGAGGCCTCCGCCTCGGAGGAGCGACAGGCGGCAGTGCTGTGGCCCGTGAAGGCGATGTCCTCCTGGGGCGGGCGGTGTCCTGGTGTCCGTCTACGAGAGATTTGCGCCCAGAGAACTGGAAGGTCCATGAGTCCATGGATGATGTCATAGCCATAGCGACGTATTGCCAAATGCCCCACAACACCCCTTCACCCTGTGTCCAACTTTCATCAAGCTATAAATGCTTGCACAAATTGCGTAAATGAGAATACATCGATATAAATCGATGCCACATCATGCCACACACACCCCACCTCACTTCTTCCTCTTCACTGCCATGTCTTTCTTCCCCCTCTCGCCCTCTGCCCTCCACCAGGGTCGGTCTGCTCCTGAGGTCGCAGTTGCCGCAGCCGCTCCAGGAAGACCTTCCGATTGGGCCGCCCGATGTCCGCCACCAGCACCGCCGCGCCGCGTCGGAGCGCCTCGTCCGCGCGGACTGCCATGGCTGCGGCGGTGCGACGGTCGTAGAGGACGTCGGAGGCCATGACCTGGAGCGGTCTAGCCGCTGGCTGGGCAGGTGGGGGGTGTCAGATGGGCGTTTCCCGTGCAAAACGGGGGAAAGAGGAAAAACATTGGAAAACGGCACAGGGCCATGCATGGTTCCAGAAAACTGCACCCCATCAGTTGGCACAAGACACAACCAAATCACAACCTCCAGCCTCGAAAGGGCACTTATATGACTTATATAAATGTGAGGCTTTCTGATGTTCTTTTCGCTGTTCTGAGATCTTCTACACCGTGGTGCTCTGCCGGGTGGCTAGGTCCGCGTCCGGCAGCGCGGCAGACGTGTCTCGCACGTCGAAGCGTCGCAGTGTGAGGTGCTCCGAGAGGCCTTGCCGCTGCGCACTCTCGGCCAGGAGCTCCAGTGGTAGAGACCTCAGCGAGCTCGCGGCTTTGCCCATTTGTGCCCCGAAAGGTGTGGGTGAGGTCAACACCAGGAACTGGTGGATGTTCTATAATTAAGCTTAAAACAGAATCTAGCCAAATGTGTCAAGTTGGTCAGCACAAGCGACTCAAGCGACCATCAAGAAACGTGAAGTGACGACCTCCGCTTGAAAACCTCTCTCTCAGCCACTGCTGTCCTTTCCCAGCCGGTGCACCTGAAGTCTGTGGCGGTGACGTGGACCTTCAAGGACAAAAGGGCCAAGGAGGCCAAACCACATCCTCACGGTTTCGCAAGGCTACCAAAGTGCGAAACAACCTACAATGGACGCAATTACGTGGAGGCCATCGCAAGCAGGTTGGAGGCCATCGCTACTAAGTAGCAAGAAGCTTACAATGGACGCTTGAGAAGTAGGTTGAATGATTCATTCATCGCCATTCATCCCTCTGCACTATTCGCAGTAGTGCGTGCACAGCAACAAGCTTGGCACAAACAAAATCAACAAGTTCAAACTTCAAACCTGGTAGATCTCCACTCTGCTGTCTACTTGGATTCGTTTAAGTGTTGCAACCAAGTCGCCACAGCCCACCTCCACCGCCCTCAATGGCGCATTCGTCTCGCTCCACTCCCTCGCTTCCGTGGTTGCCCAGGCCGCCGCGGCCTGAGCTAAGACCTGTCCGGCCGGCCAAACTGCCATGCCGTAGGGGTCCGCTTCGATGGCGGTCTCATCCTCTTGGTTCACCGCCTCTTCAATGAGCTTCTCTTGCCTGCGACAGAAAATGCTGAAGTTCTTCAGAGGAAACCCTCAAAGAAGAAGAAGCTGAAAGAACGAGAAGCGGCAACAGGAGAAGAAGAAGAAGCAGGAAAAACAAGATGCAGCGAGATGCCAAAAAAGGCTGCATAGAGGAACCACATGCTATATCACATCAAAACTCTTGGCATAAGTACAATTATACATACCGAGATATTTCGCCGACACGCCCACTTCCCCAAGTAACTCATGTTCCACCATTTTTTCAGCCAAGTGGCCAATCCAATGACGCTTCCAACACTGTGACCGCGACCCCTGGCGCCACCATTGCCTCCACCTCCACCGCCTCTGGAAACCGTGCCCTCCGTGCCCGTCGCCGTGCCCGCGGCGTCGCCAGGGCGGCCAGAGCACCAACGGGTCGGTAGACCCAACCAGACGAGCTGCACCTCGTGGGGAGCGGAAGATCGAGAACCGGCCTAACTGCTCCTGAACGCCCAGGAAGGACGACGGCGCGCCATGGGCGGGGCAGCAGCGGGAGAAGTTGCATTGTATGGAGAAGTGTAGAGAATTCGAGCCTGCAAGTGAAAAAAGAGCTGCTGAACTGGTTCCAAATTGCATCCCGAGTTGCCCACTTTTGATTGAAATGTGTGCTGCTCAAGTTTCTTTCACGTGGTTCATCTTGTATTCTAGCTATGTCAAACACTATTCTACAAATGAGGGTGCCTGCGGGCAACGTTGGCCTCAAGGCAGGCACGATGCTTGAAACGGCGACAAGGATGAAAACGGGTTCTGCAATGTTCTGAGATCGATTCTCAACAATGAGCCATCTTGGCTTGCTACGCAGCAAGTAAAACCGTAGAAGTGTGCCTTCGCTGGCTGAGCCCGACTAGTCACGGAATACCAAATCTCTGAGGACCAGTTGTCTAGGAGGTCTCCTAATACGCTTATACCAATTCAAGTTGAACCGTGTTCGCCCGCCAAGAAAGCCTTGAAACACCTGGTCGAAAGGCCGACATGAGCCCACATCCCTGGTCCCTGAAGGCCTGAAAATGACCTTCAATTGGAACCAATAATCAAGCACTAACGTCCACATACCGGAAACACCATCAATATCCATCAATCACCACCCTTGGTGAGGGCGGCTTCGACTTCTGGGCCCACGCCAGGAGCATTCTCCTCATGGCCCTGATCCGTTGCAGGAAGGCCGATCGCTACTGGATGCTACTAGATTGGAGACCATGGCCAGTAGGTTGGAGGCCATGGCTACTATAGGTTGGAGAAGCCGCCAGTAGGTTGGGCCGTCCCTCCTCCTGCGACCAAGGGCACCGAGCTCCGAACCGCCCCCAGGCGAATCAGCTCCAAGGCGACGGACCACGCTTCGGCGGCTTCGATCGATGCCATGGCCTTCGACGCTTCGGCGGCTTCTGCGGCCGATCCATTGGCTTCAAGCGAGAGACTCGTCGAGGGCCTTCAATGATCTTCAAATATCTTCAATGATCCACACGATGAATCATTTGGAGCATTGAAGATCGGTCATGGCCTTCAATGATCTTCTGGTAAGTTCTTCAATGTAATTCGGAGCTCTGAAGTCGGGTAATTAGATCTCTTTAAAGGACCTTCAGCAATATCCCCGTTTTCCCACGGTTGCACATCACCTCCCTCCCCCAACCGGCTCTCCGTTCACTCGCCCAGGCACCGTGGTCACCGTGATGCTGTTGGGCCGCACCGCCTCGTCCAGCATCTCGGCCACGATTGCCACGACCAGCGGCCACGCACGACCTGGGAACGAACCAACGCGGACGGCAAGACCTCGGTCTCGCGTGAGCAACGCGGACGGCGACCGGTGTGAAAAAGCCTGTCTCGTTCTTTTTCGATGAACACATTGAAAGGGGGTGAGGTGATGTTTGGCCAGGTCGCTGGTGGTTTGTTTAAGTTTCTTGCGTGGGCGGAAGTGTGTGGTGGAGTGGGGGAAGAAACTTCTTGAAGGCTAGCCACATAAGACAGCAACACCAATGCCACGGCATACCTGTTGGAACTTTTTTGGAACTGTCATCAGGAATCCCATTCTGAAACTGGCCATGGCACATTCGCAAGCAACCGCATTGTAGCTTGCGGCATCTGCTTCTATCAGGAAGTCAGCCATGCAACGCAACAACTGCCTCAAATCAGGAGCTTGTCACTGCTCGCGGATTCCCACATGCCATCCAGGGAGCTTCAATGAGAGATGATGCAAAGTGGACACAAATTTTAACCTGTCAAACATTCTGTGAACCATGTTGCAAACACGGCCTTACAATTACCCATCAATCGAATCCCAATGCGGCCGAAATAGCTGCTAAGCTCACCATGCCATAGCTACTGCCATAGCTCACACCCCCATCCATCCCCAGTTATTTGGCTCAAGTGCAAGGCATGAGGCCACTCGCCTGCCCTCGAACAAGCCGCCATGGCCGAATTGCAGGCAATGAGGTCGATGGCCACTCGGGCCTTGGTGCCGAGAAAGTCGATCGGCCGAGGTTCCTGAAGAGTTCCATGTCTCATGGATACGACAAGCACAGCTGATTGGTGGCGACCGGGGGAGGTCTTCCATGGTCTTCCCATCATGGAGAATGTTGAGCCCCGAGTGCACCGCCTTTCAGGATCACGCACTTGCCCTAGGAGATCTAGAAGAGCTAGTGAGTGTAGTGTGAGTCAAGGCTGCCAAGCCTGCCAGGCCGGTGTCTGCTTCCCTCACAGTAATCAAGCCCACATCCAAAAAGGTACCTCTTTTCCGCCCCACACGTCCCAGGCACCAGAGCCATCGAGCTGAGAAGGTGCAGTGCCACTTCCCATTGCCCCACCTTGTCGCAAGCGCTGATGGCAGCGCTATAGCTGACCTGCGCGGAGACTCCAGATTTGAGAAGACCAACATCTTCAACAGGATGCCGGTTCATGCCTGTTCCCTTTGAGCACCCGAGGGTGACCCATGCAAACGCTGAACCGGATGCAACAAATCACCAGCGCCACGATCATGAAGACAAGGGCTCCCACATGCACCTACATCTGGCCTGAAAGGACATGCGCAAGAATACCTGGCCTACAAGCTAAAATCAACAATAGCAATTGCTAATTGGCAAGAATTGTGAATTCAATAACCCACCGTCGGTTCAGAGCAGTGTTCAGAGCACAAACATGCAAAACCACCATCCTCTGAAGAGCTTCAAATCAAACGCGCGTTCACGTGAGTGTTGGGCCAATCTGATTTTTTCTGAATCGTTTCCCATACCACTTTGGATCCCATACCATAACGACCATACCATGGACCCCCCACAAACATCCACTCGGGGTGCCGAGCAAATCCTCGACCTCGTCGGGAGGTGCTTGGTCTTGCTGCATTTGCCGGAGCAGCTGCAGAGTGAAGCGCCATTGGCCCACGCGCTCCTCAGCTGAAGGGGATGACAGGTCAAACGCGCAAGACAGGGTGTGCTGCTTCACTGATGTGCCGCCAATCTGCCGGGCCTGCAGGTGGAATTGGTCGAAAGACTTGACTGTCAATCAAGTAGAAGGAATATAGGCAAACCGTAGAATCAAAGGACTACATGACTATTACTACTCCAAAGGCTATTACTGATGAGAAACTCCCAAAGACAAACCCAAGGGGTCTGTGGGCAGTCGAGCAGTGTTTTTTGATAGCATCATCCTCCGGCCAATGAGCCCGCCAAGGAGCACAAGCGCTCATCACCGCATTGAAGCTCACGGTGTCCGGCCCACCAGGGACTGAGCCCAAGATTTCTAAGGCCAACTGCCACTGTCCACCTCAGGAAACGCAGTTTGCACATGTTGGCACCCTGCGAGTTCCAAAGGGTTTTGGTGAAACAGGTTGCATATTTGGCATCTGATGCATGTCATGTGTGTTGTGCTTCTGCTCTTCGAAGAAGGTGGCCCCCACAACTCCCGTTCTCTGTAGACTTGGCTCATCTTTGCCGCAGAAACGGCCCAAGGATGCCCAAGGTCTAATCAACGCAATGAGTCCAATGAATAGTGGCCAGAGTCTGAGAACTTTGCTTCCCATGTGTGTTGAGCCGGATCCTTTACGTATACCCCCAGTCGCCTATCAAGCCCATGAAGCGCGACCTGGAACCTGGGGGCCCGGTCATTTCTGTAGGACGCTCAGGAAGCTGTTGTAGGAGATGCGGGTCACTTTCAGTCTCCTCCGCGCCATAGAGCCTCGTGCCGTTTTGGGGTGGCTGCCGGGGGTCGTTTTGCCCTGCGCCGGAGCCCGGCGCACATCCGGGTGGGTGAGAGGAACATAACGGTGGTGTGGCTTCTGCCATTAAATCAAATTGGCCATGGATGATATAGACACTTGAGGCCAAGGGGGGGGGGCGAAAGCTAGCGCTCCAGAATGGGAAAGTGGAGGGCAGCGAGGTAGGAAAAAACACGGCGCTCTTTTTGGAGGCAGGGGTGAAGAGTCCTTTATATGTGGCTCTTTGCCCGGATCCTCCTGCGAGAGAAGAGAGAGAAGAGAGACGGAAAGACGAGAGACAGAGAGGAGAGAGAGAGAGAGAGGAGAGAGAGATGAGAGAGATGAGAAAGAGATGAGAGAGATGAGAGAGATGAGAGAGACAGTGAGACAGTGAGACAGTGAGAGAGTGAGAGTGAGAGTGAGCGAGTGCGGCCGCAAGATACGCAACGCTAACCGCATGCCAAAGAGCGACGACAGGACGGAGTCGAACTTGCGAAGAGGGAGGAGGGAGGAGGGAGGGAGGGAAGAGATGGGAGGAAGACAAGGAGGAGGAGAGGGGGGGAGGTGGGGAGAGGGGAGGTGGGAAGAGGGGAGGTGGGGAGAGGGGAGGAGAGGGGGGGGGTCTTTGACCTGAATAATCAGGGGTTAGGATTTGCACCCGGTCGAAAGAAACCTTGCTATCGCAAGAGTAACTCCAGCTAGCTTCGCTAGCTTTCGTGACTTCGATGTTCCATGCCCCTCGCTCTCAGACTCTTGGTGCCAGGCATGACATGGTCACCACCCCCCAAGCAGTTCCGGTCCCTCCAGCACTAGGCCAAAGCACTCAAGAGTTCACTGGCCACATCCCAACGGCCACCTTCCTCACAGGCCTTGATGGCGATGTTATAGCCTCATTTAGCAGGAAGCTGTGCAGCGTCAAAATGACGACGATGACTATGAGGTGTGAGTGCAGGATATGTTTGGGGACATTTCATTGGAAACTCCGTTACTGTTCGGCGTGCGCGCGTACAAGCACAGCACGTCATGTTATCCATGTTATCGACATTGAGCTGCAGCTAAGCCGAGCTGCTGATAAACGAAGGTGATAAATGCTTCTCTGGCATCGAACGCAGCACTACCAACGCATCTGGCCAACGGCTGCCTTTCCTGGTGGCGATGGGGCGAATGGTGGCGAGCGACGCCAATACCAATTCTCAATGAATTCTATGTCTCAGAGCACGTCATTGTGGTCATCTAAATCTTCTCATTGGGGCCAGGTCGGTGTTCTGTGGGGCCAGGTCGGCCCTCCTCCTTCCTGGAAAAGAAACGGAAACAGCGACCAAGGCTCACCAAGGCCAGCATGGCCGTGTTCATGGTGACCACATCTGGCGAGGGCGGCATGGTCCGCCACATCTCGAGCGCTTCTCTCCAGCTGCTGGATTTCTGAAGGACATCCATGGCGGTGTTGTAGGAGACCAGATCTGGCCACAGTTTCTTCCTCTTCATCCTCAGAAAGGACAGCTACTCTCCCCTCAATCCATGGAAGGTCAAAAGTCAATGACGCACAAAAGCATCCTCAAGCACCAAAGAACTTCTGTCTTCTGTTCGGTTCATCTGAGTTGTCTTCCGCTGTCATCTAGAATTGGAGCGGTGGCGAGAGCTGTTCATTGAGACCCCTCGCCTTCCATCAACTTCCGATTCGCAGCACCTCCCGTCAAGTCGCTGCTGCAGGAGCTTCAAGCTCCACTGGCCATTGCAACTGCGGAGCAGTGAGTTGTAAGTCACCACGTCAGGCTGCACAAGCTCCTGAAACGGAATCAACAGGTCGTTCCATGTCATTCCTGATCGTCAGACTGATGCCCCATGGGCCCCATGGGCCAAATATGATTATGATCATGCGGCCACACACTCCCTGACATGCTTCGTGAGGCGCCGAACTCGAAACGATGTCGGCCATAAATTGTGGCCGTCAAATTGACAGGCCTCACAGGAACCGAACATACTTGTGGCCTTAAAAAAACGCAAACACTCTGTAGGAGTGTGCCTCGCCCTCTCTGGTCATCTTCCCTGGATGAAAGCTGCGGAGTTCCCTTTTAAAACCTGTGTGGGAACGAAGGAAGCACAACATATTCACAACCACTTAATCAGATATTTGCGTGATGATCATTCCACCTGGGCGTTAAACTGGTGGTCGAAGACAATCAAATCAAGTGTAACCGTATGTAACCGTTATATAAATGGTTTGATATGGGTTGATCAGTACGTACTATAGCGAGCCTGCCCACCTGATGCATCTGCTCCAGCAAGGCGCAGGCATGCATCCAGTCAGCAGCCTTGATCGCCTCAAGCCAGACACGTTGAAAACACAACCTTTATGGGCCCTGCCAAAAATTGCCAATCTAGCGTCAAGTAGCCAGGTAGTTGGGTGGGGTTGCTGACAGTGCTCACCCTCCAGCACCTCCAGCCCATCAACACGGCCCAAAGAGCCACTCATTGGGCTCGGCTCTCTGGCTTGTTTCGGATGACCACCCGATTGAGACGAGATTTTCATTGATGCGATGAACACAGTCCCCAACACCTGCGCATGGTGCCACCAACACCCTGCGGCTCAGCTGCGGCATTATAGACCACGACGTTCGGCGCGACCTTCAGGAAGAGCTGCACGACGACACACAGCGCGAGGCACGGCTGGGACGGAGCGGTTCACTCTGGAGGAGAAATGATCACCAACCATGAAGGAGTGTAATTGGTTTCATTCGAGGTGACAGGAGGTTGGCATGTAATGGATTGTATGGCACATCCCCATAATGCGGTACATATCTACCGTGCATGTCTCCAGGTCCAAGCCACTACCATCGTGGGGTCTGTTGAGAGGCATTTGCCAGCGCGTCCGCGGACGTTCAAGAGCATGAAGGACAGGTTTTATCACTCGTGGGTGGTACAACAAATCCGCCTCCATGGTATTTTCGAAGCGGTGCCAAGGGCAGGGCAGCTACGCGATTTGCCAAATCATGACGATCCGCGAAGAGCCTAACGGGCAACCCTCTTGTTCCGAAGGGCTTTTGTCGCTGTCCGACGGACGAAGACCTTGAATTCACCCACCGAATCGGCCAGCGACGCCTGGGAGGCCTCCACGAACGACGGGGGATGGGACCAGCGGTCGGTCGTGAAGAACGCCTGATCCTGGTGCATCTGATCCAGCAAGTGCAGCGCCATGGGCCAGTCACACAGACCAATGGCTCCACCTCAGAGCCAAAAGCGAAACGGAACGATGGAAAGATCAGAGCCAACATGCAGAAATGCCGCACACCAAACGCTGTTTGCCTCATATATCTCTTGCCGCCTTGGCTTGGGTAAACATCAAATGCCTTCAATGTTATAATTTTACCTGACCCTGACTCGTCTGACTTCTAAAACCACTTATTGTACTGACTCCTGCAGCTTGAGAGGCCAACAATCGCCAAGTCAAGCACAAGAAACCCCCACTCTGCCAACAAGGATGCAAAAGCAGAACTTCCTTGAAACTACTTCAACATTATGCTGCTTAACTTGGCTCCCAGGCCGATACAACATGATACAACAAAGAACCACAACTACACGACAAAAAGCCAGAGTGTCAGATTCATGATTTTCCAAAGGTCCCCGCATCAAAACAAGGGAAAGTCAGGATGCAACACCGGGTGCATACTGCCCCCCCTTGTAAGTGTCCAGTTTGCCCCCCAATTCTGGCTACAGGGCCATAGACCACCACGTTCGGCTGCACTTGCTGGAGCTTCATGAACTTCAGGAGCTCAAGCGCAGTCAACCAAGATGCGCAGGCACCTCAGCTTGTACAATGATGCATCAGGCTTGGAACTTGGAACGTGGGAAATCTCAGAACTGCCTTCTCTACCGTTGATGAACTTCCATGCCAACCTGTTGTCAAGCGGACCTTCTGTGACAAAGGGGGTGAAATCTACTGGGTGAATCTGGCCAGTCTCTTGCGGAAGTGAGACATGTCAACCGCCCGGATCCGGATCCGAACGCGACCGAACCGAACGCGAGGTCCGTGGTCACTGCGTTCCGTCTGAGGTCGCCCACTGATGGCTGCACCAAAATGATAGACATTGGTCTCCTGAGCGGACCAGGTCTCTACGCACTGTCAGACGCGCCGATGTTCAGAGCCTTTTTGTGCAAAGAACACAGAGAGGTACCAACAGGGATGGATGCAGCTTAATTATTAAGCTGCATCCACCCCCGTTGGTACCTCTTGGTTCATGCCTTCATGCATCTTCATGCCAACACTCTTTCACCAAACCTTTGATAAAGAGTCGTCATCGGATCATGAACAACCTCCAACTTTCTGCCTCTTAGCTCAATCAGCCACGCAATAATTATGCTCCCTTTCATTGCTGGGCCTACGACCCACGAGTTAGGCGCTTCAGCTCCAAATGGGTGTAGTAGCCAGCTAGTTTAACATCGTACGTCGTACCCCTAAAACAAAACTGGCGCATTCCTCTGACTGTGGATGGTTCTAGGCGGTCAATGCCCTTTCGGACACCTTTTTTGTGGCCCAAGTTCCTCAGTCAAGTCATCTTCAACTCTTCAGTCAAATCTGACACACCCGAAAATCGCCCTGGTCGCAGTGGGTTGGTCGGAACTTCCGTTACTGACAGATACAAACATCTGGGCGAGTGAGGTCAAATGAAGGTTAAACACTCAGTTGGTGCTGGGGTTTCTGTGATGCCTTCTGGTTCAAGGTGGCAATATGTAGCAATGAAAACAAAGGACAGCAATGAATTGAACATTGGTTCCAAGCCACTGCGGCTTTCTCTGTTTCTATCAATGTTCCTACCAGTAATGATTCCTAATATTAGATTCTATTTGGGCAAGAATAGGCAAAAGCTCCGTTTCGTTCCTCTTCGACTCGTCTCATCGAAGTCTCCAGCGAGGTCTGCTTCATGGCCCCCAGCAGCTGCACCAGCCGCGCAGCGCCGAGCTGCGGCGCCCAGCGCCGCAGCGCGGCCGTGGCCCGCTGGGGCGAGCGACGCCAGGCCTAGAGTGACGTCTGAGGGGTGGTGATACACTGTAACAGGTCACATGAGTCACATGTGAGAGTACAGTATATAAGTAGAGAAACACTGATATTATTGTATGTAACAACATAATCATTACAACAACATCTACATTACGTACCACTGTGACCTATCTCCCACGTTTGGGAAAACACCTTATTTAATCACACTAGAATCGTGGAATCTAAATGATATAAATTACAGTAAGACTGTAGGAAGAATTCAGACACTTTGCCTGCCGGACCTGTTTCATTTCCGGTGCGCTTCGCAAACCTGCAGAACAATTCCTTCATGGCATCGGCCAGCCTTGAACTCCTTTTGCAGCACTTTCTCCACATCGAACATCCCTGCATTCTCTTCACGGAATCAGCGCGAATCTGTCCATGGCTACAGAAAGCTGCGATTGGAGGCGCACGAGACGATACCCTCCAACGAATACCCGCCTTCCCAGCCCCACTTTGATACTGAGTGACCCGAACAAACACCGGTCGCAACCCCCAAACAGGGGGATCTGCTTGCATGCTGAGTGTTTGGCTTCCATCCGCTTCTTGGAACACTGAGGGTCAACAACAGAAGGTGGTCTTATGCGGTTTTACATGGCACTTCTTGAGATTCTTATTCTTACGTATTCCTACAGTATTTTACAAAAAGAGCCGCAACTTCGGTCGAGCGTTTTGGTGGCCAACGCACCGCAACCAAAAATACCATGAGGGCATCCAGCATCTTCCCACGCACTAAGAGAATTCGATCAGACACATGGGCTGACGGTCAAAAGCCGGCGAGTTTGGCGCGGCACCACGCGCAGAAATACAGTTTTTCATCTTAAGAGCATTATCCAAAGTCGTGAAAAAAACTCACAGGGTGCTATTCGATTGGGGCATTTCGCGGTCCTGTTGCTGGCCCGCGCACGTCGCCGTACGCGGAGCTTAAATGATGGTGAATTACCGGCGATTCCGTCTGGCGCAGGCTGTCAAAGTCGCAACATCCAACAGAAATGCCATGAATTAGATTTGAACGAGTTCCGATGTTTTATAGAATAACCTGCGCCAGGTGAAAGCTCATGGGTCTGCTTGTGGACAAATTTTCAAGCACCCAAGGTTTCTAGTGTACATGTCCCTGCAATGCGGCTGGGGTAACATGATCTCTGACTCTACCTTTGTGAGAAAATTCGCGGGTCCTTTTGCAACAAATTCTACAGTAATGGTATGCATAATGGCACCCAGTACAAAGCATTAGGATGTGCCATTTGGCAATTCCTTTCCATTCAGCACGCTGACTTTTCTTGCTAACTGTCCAAGTGCACAAGGCCCTCCTCATTCATGCGTTGCACTGCTGCTCGCCAATCACACTTGGACGGTGAGTCCTGCCGCTGGAAGACGGGTCGTTCTCCATGCTGAAGCGCACATGACTCGATGTAAAACTGTCCAAATGTAAAAGTGGCTCGCTTTGAATCAACGCTCTCTTCTCCCTCTCTCTCTCTCTCTCTCGCTTTCAAGTCTTTACATCACCGCCCTTCGATTAAGAAATTTACACCAGCCCTTGAAGTCTGTAATCCAGCCGCCTGGGCATTGTAATGCATCACCAAGGCCAGACGCTCTCTGTAATTGTCTTCAACTCAATCATCATCTTCTGAAGCTACTAGGAACTAGGGGCTCCTGGCCTTACTACTAGGAGCAAGAAGCTACTAGGAACAAGGGCATCGCTACTAGGGGC